GATCACAGTCCTCGGGGGAGGACTTGTCCTGGAGGAGGTGGGAATGGAGGGTGGGCTGGGGGTAAGAAGAGGGCGTGGGAGGGGGGAGAATAGGGGAACCCATGGCTGATATGTAGAACTGATTGGTATTGTAAAATAAAAAATATATATCACAAAAAAAAGAATCTATGTTATTAAAACATCTTAAATGCCATATTCTGAAGTGTAGATCTCTGAAGTGTTTGAAGATAACCTGTATATCTAAGACATATTTCTGTTTGACCTTGAAAACATACCTAACATGACTACAAGTTCGATTGTAATAGGTGACTAACTACTAACTTGCTTTTCTTTATATCCTAATTAGTTAATAACTTTCAAGGACTAGCAATTTGCATTACCTTGTTAAATGAGCTGTACAGGTACAATACCTTGGACAAGAATAGAAATATATGTACAGTATTCTCTAACAAAATCAAGTTCAAACTTGTATTAATATACATAATTTGGAAACAATATACAAAATCCAATCCAATGTAAAATATTTAAAACTAGTAGTTGCTTTTCAAAAATAGATTCAATAATTACCTTTTTAATCCTGTCATATCCATATTCTCCCTTTTTTCTTTTCAAAGTAGATTCAATAATTTACCCTTTATTCTATCATTTCTCTATTTTTTCAGAGTAGATTTAATAATCTTATATCTATATCCTCTTTTTATCTTTTCAGAGTGGATTCAATAATCTACCCTTTTATTCTATCATTTCTATATAATACAATTCTCTATCAGGGAGCACATCTGCCACCCCAGGCACTTAGCAGAGATCATGGCCTATGGTGAGCCTGTGGTACTCATTTGGTGAGAGATGGAGTGGAACTGTGGGAGTGCTTGGATTCTGAGCTCACTACATAACCAGTGGGCATGCCCCTTGCAAAGAGGCCCCTTACCTATCCCGTTCAGATGACAGAGGAACTCGGGGGAGGGGGTCCTAGAGTTAGACCCATCCAACTACATGAAAAACCAGATTTTCATGCCTCCTTTCAGTGCGAGGAAGCGTATGGTGTGCTAGAGATGCCGCTCACAGGGTCCCTGGCTGCTCCAGGCAGCACTCGGGATCGCATGGCGAGAACTTGTGAAACTTGACGGCCAGTTATATCCTCCTCACTCAGCCTATGCTCACCAGGCTGGGGTCATCCTACTACACATTCTAGGACATGGTTGCAGGAACATGTGGGGTCTTTGGGAGGTGGCAGGGTGGGGTCAGGGCTCCCCAACTTCTTTCTTCACCTCACATTGGGGCTGGTTACTGCTTGGCAGATGACTTGATCGAATCTCTCTATAATGACCACCACTGACACACACACACACAGCCTACCTAAGGTTGCTGGTGCATGACTTCCCCTTCCTCAAGCATCTGGCCCTGTCGGGCCTAGTAGAGGACAACAGGCTACTCAAAGTGGCAGGGACAGGCCAGGGAGAGGGAGGCCAGGAAGAGGAGGGTAGGTACAGCACTCCCAGCTTGGGTCTCAGGCAAATGACCTATTCACCCTGCCCAGAGAAGGCTGCACCTGCCCAGCAGAGATGCCTCAAGGATTCTTTCCTTCCCACACTTCCCTTCAAGGGTGTCAAGACAGACAGAAGGTGACAGCATTTTAAACTGTCCCTGCCGTCCAGAGCCTTTTCCTGCCACGGGAGTAAGACCCGTCTTTTGGTGCGTGAGTAGGGGTGCTGGCTGGGGCATGCTCTCCACAGGCAATAAAGTCACCCTTCAAAGCCAGTGACAGGGGAAGAGACATGTGCCTAGGGTCACGAGAGCTGCCCGGCTAGCCACCCCGCAGGTTTCTTGTAGCCATGAGAAGTGTGCTCTTGTGACCCTGTACATGAACTGGGTAGCTGTGTCAGAGGCCCAGCTTTTTCTGCTCTCTTGAGAGACCACACTGTCTGCCCTCAACTGCCTCAAAGAGAGCAGGAGGCACAGGTGGCCGAGGAGGTGACTCAGCTCGGCCTTCCCTCATGACACGAAATTTAGTTCCCAACTTTTTAAGGACCATTGGAGTTGGGGCAGGACATGCCTAGGTGGTCTTGGGTATTTGTCTAACTCTTCTAGAATGTCTGTATCCCCACCTGTGAAGAGGGAGGCACCTGTGGGTGGCACTGTTAATTACATATACCTGTCTTCTGGTTGTGTGTGTGTGTGTGTGTGTGTGTGTGTGTGTGTGTGTGTGTGTGTGTGTGTGTTTCTCCCCAGTATTGCTGGTTTGAACCCAGGCCTTGGGCATGCCAGACCAGAATGCTTGTGTTCAGCGGCATCCCTGGCCCTCAGAGAGCCACCTTTTTATGGAGGAAAGTCTTAAAGGCTGTGAGCCGGGTCCGGGGAGGCACTCTGGGACCATCTAAGTCTGTAGCCCACTGGCCAGGTTCTGTTTAAGTTGGTGAAAGGCTGAAGCACAGCTAAAATTAGGCCAAGATGGCTTCGGCCTCTGAGCTGAGGCTGCTACCACATGAGCAAACTGGTGGCCATGGCACTGCCAGGGAAGACCTGTGGTGCCATCTGGCCCCATCGGAGCAAGATCCACGAGCACCTGCCGGCTAGCTACCTTCAAATCCTGAGGTGAAGTCCTGGTAGCTCATTCCTTCTTTCTTGTAGCCTATCTTGGCGGTCAGCTGCGCAAACTGGCTGTCATTCATAGGCAACCCGATTTCCTCCAGGACCTGGCGGCGAGGAGAGCCAGAGGGAGAGAAGCATTAGGGTGTCTATCCCACACTGCACTGTTCCTCCACAGGCTCCAGTAGCCATTATTACTTACCTGCCCCCTCCCACCCCGCCCCTGGCTGCCGAGGGTGGGGCCGGGCTTCTGTGTCCCTGGACTGAGGCACAGGCCTGTTTGTGGGGCTTGTGAGTAAACAAAGGGAGCAGGGAGCATGACACTCAGACACAGACAGCTCAGCTGCTCTTTGCCAAGGCCCTGCCAGCCAAGGTGCCCAGCTGCCTCTTGTCTCCCGGGTGGCTTCTGACTCTAGTAAGCTGTCTTCTTATTCTCATGTTTGTTTTCCAGGACTCAAAGGCACACACACTAAAGGCAGTTTCAGGAGGGAAAAGAAGGTTGTCCACCAAGTTTCATCAAGACCCACAGAGGAAGGCTGTGTGGCTCTCGGATGGTGGGGGGCACCCGCAGGCACCATTTCGCCCTTCCCCGTGTGAGTCTACTTGCTAAAGGTGGTTTCTGGACCCTTCGCTCTGACACAGACACACCCTCCTCTTCCGTTTGTGCATATAGCGTGGAGTGGGTGGGGAACAGAGGAGGGAATACATGACCCTGTATAATAAACACTGAGACAGACTGGTCCCAAAGCCGCCTTCCTAGGAGACACTGACTGGCTGAGCTGCTGTGGGTAAGACGATGCCCTTGGGTCAGTGGGTAGACAGGGGCGATCCAGAAGCTGTCTGTCTGGAGGGTGCCTCCCTCAGTTCAGGGGACAGAAGACGCAGTCCTTGCTGTTCAGCCAGCGTTTATGGTCTGAGAGTGGAGACCTACTTAACAATGACCTCAGAGTCCAGGTTCGGAACGGGGCTGTGCGCTAGGTTGAACTCACTGGGGACAGGGACAGACAGACAACCTGTTGAAGGTTTGTTGGAGGCCGAGTGTGCAAGACTGTAGGGAAAGGTGGTGTGTCTGTAGCCCAGTGCCTGTGTGACTAGACCGGGGAGACCACCCCTGGCGGCATGTGAGTATAAGCTTTATTGAACTTCACTCCCAGAAGCCTGGCAGTGGTGGCGCACACCTTTAATCCCAGCACTTCGGGAGGCAGAGGCAGGCAGATCTCTGTGAGTTTGAGGCCAGCCTGGTCTACAGAGTGAGATCCAGGACAGGCACCAAAACTACACAGAGAAACCCTGTCTCAAAAAACCAAAAAACAACCAAAAACAAAAAAAAACAAAAACAAAAAACCAACCAAACCAATTAATTAATTAACTAATTAATTAAGAAATTTATTCCCAGGAGGTCCAGGGGCACCAGCAGGACACAATGCCATCTGTGCTGCCCTCTCCATGGTGCCCTACACCAGTCGGTACAGGGAAAGAGTTCGTAGGCCAGGTGCCACGGCACAGACATCAGCATGGCCATCTGTGGTCCTGCTCTCAGGAGTAGCTGCCATGGGACGTCACGAGGAGGCAGGTCCTCTGGTGGACACTAGTTCCCTGGCTCTGTGGACTATCATCCGGATGTTCCTATGTGGTCCACTGAGCCTGCTTCCGTTGCTCCCTGGGCTTGGACTGAGTCTTGGCATTGAAAAGAAGTGTCTCAGGAGCCTGGCACTAGTGTCCTCCTTTTCTCAGGATCACACAGCATGGGGAAGACATGGACGTAAGCTGACACCATCAGATGGTTCTGGTGTTGCCCAAAGCCCGGAGCAGAGGGCCAGTGGGAGAAAGTCTGGCATAAGACAGGGCTGGACTCCATCCACCACGCTCCCTGTGTGACACTGTTCTCTAACTGCAGGCCATGCACTGTGCTGAGCCCTCTATGACACCCTCTATTTCACCTTATTTGGAGCTCAGAGAAAGGGCCTCTCAGAACGCTGGCACAAAGATCTGGACACAGAGGCTGCTGACTTGCCCTGGCCACCTGACCTGGGAGTGTCAGGGCTGGGCCTCAAACCTGATTCTGATCACAAACCACCGTATACTCTTGGAATAAGGAACCCAGGCTGGAGGAAGAATGATGAGTTCCAAGTAGACTGTACACACCCAGCGGAAGAGGGAGCTGTCTGTTGCGGGACTCCGGGGGTCCTCACACAAATCCTAACCGGCCACACGGGAAGACTAACTGGAGTCTTGGCAAACATCTGTGACCCCACCAAATGGGAGGGTGCAGGAGGCCACTGAAGGGATCTGAACAGGTCCTTTCTCATGTGCCCCCATGAGAGGGGGCTTCAGAAAGCAGTTTCTCCTCCCTCCCCGACTGGATACAGTGGAGAGCTTTCAGGTACTTCCTCCCCATTCGGCTGCAGACTCTGAACCTCTTACACAGTCTAGATTTAGCTCCGAGCACACGATGGGCCACAGTTTATCTGGGTGTCACTCATCCTTTCTGGTTTTCAGGAAGAGGATGCAGGGAGCTGTAGGTGAACAGTGGGAAGATGGCTGATATACATCCTTCCTGGTTTGTGGGGCCTGGTCTTGGTCATGGATGCCTGTGTGAGTGTATGTGTACATGCATGCATGCACGTGCATGTGTGCGTGCATGCGTGCGTGCGTGCGTGCGTGTGCGTGTGCGTGTGCGTGTGTGTGTGTGTGTGTGTGTGTGTGTGTGTATGTGTGTGTGTGTGTGTACACAGTGAACAGGCCATAGTGTGACTGCGGGACCAGGGGTTGTGGCATTACTGAGGAGAAGTGCTGAATTCCAAGGTCATTCTTTGACTGGGAATCCCACACCATCTGTGCGCTATCCGCTGCCTGTGTTTCCCAGGCCCAGATCTGGAGAGGAGCCTGTCCCAGCATGAGGTACAGTGACTATTTAGATAGAAAGCTGCAGCCCACACAGAAGCACCCAGAGGCAATGGGTCTCGGGAATGAATAGAAGGGTTACTCACTTTGAAAAACTAACTTCCTATTTTGAAAACAATCACACATGAATTATTCATCGCAAAGTCCTCCCGCTTAGTCCTTTCACAAAAACATATGCAATGGAGAGGAAGAAAATGTCTGCAGGCAAATGTTTCCCAGCCTGGAGGGTTGTGAAGAACCAGGGAGGCGTGGGAGCCTTCCACAGCCTGTCCACTGGGCTGGGTGTGCAGTTCCCCGGGGGCACAGAGCACCACGGAGCAAGCCTGGCCTCACTGGCAAGCTTTGTGGAGAAGCACTGAACTCCCCCAAGGCACCCCACACCCCTCTCGTCTGCAATGAACACAATCCAGAAGACTTCTCCTCAACACCTGCCAGCAACTCACAGGCAACAGGGCTTAGCCACAGCCTGGTGAACAGACGGAACACCCTTTGTCCAGCCAAACCCTGGCTTCTCTGGGAGACACTCTCCTGAGAGTCCACTGAAGAGCGACAAACCAGTATCAAATCTCTTCCTTCCTTCTTTCGTGTGTGTGTGTGTGTGTGTGTGTGTGTGTGTGTGTGTGTGTGTGTATACGTACATGTTTTTGGTTTTGCTAGCCAAGTAGGCTAGACTGGCTAGCCAGTGAGTCCCAGGGATCTATGTATACCTCCTTCCCCAACACTGGGATTCTGAGAGTGTGCCACCATATTTTTTTCTCTTTTCACATGGGTTCTAGGAATCAAATTCCAGCCCTCACGCTTGCAAGGCATGTGGTCTACCAACTGAGCTATCCGGCCAGCCCCTGTCTGACATTTCCAACGTTTCCAATGGTCCCGCCTGGGACAGCCTGCATCGCAGAGAGAGCCTTCCTTGGGGCCCCAATAACTTATTGAATTGTGGGGGTTTTGGTGCTCTGAGTGACAGGTGCCCAGTGACAGCAGCTGAGGGGACCCAGGCCTTTCTGCTTGGGGCAGAATGGACACGTCGGCCTGTGCGGCATGCTTGCTTCACCTCTGTGTCATGATCTTGGCATTTTCTCTTGAGGTTACAACACTACACAGCACAGTCCATGGAGAGCAGTGGTTCTCAGCCTGTGGGTCATGATCCCTTTAGGGTCAAATGACCCTTCCACAGGGGTCACCATCAGGAAACAAAGATATTTACATTATGATTCGTAACAGTAGTAAAATTACGATTATGAAGTAGCAGTGAAAATAATTTTGTGGTGGTGGTGGTGGGTCCCCACAACATGAGGGACTGTATGAAAGGGTCGCAGCGTGAGGAAGGCTGAGAAGCACCATTCTAGAGAACATCACTCCACACACAAGGCAGGAACCTGGGAGCGCTTGGGGCCCCTGCTGTCCCTTCTGCCACGCTGTCATTTGCTGTCATTTACATCTATAGTAAATTCTCCAAGGCAAGGCTGTCGTTTTCAGCCTCCAACACTCCTGTGCATTCTGTACATTAAGAGTAGCCTTTCACATGTAGCCAACTGCTCTCCATTTCCACGTCCATGTGCCATGTGCATGTGTGGGGGCACATGTGTGTGAGATGGATACTGGGAATTATCCTTAATTCCTTTCCTTCCTTCCTTCCTTCCTTCCTTCCTTCCTTCCTTCCTTCCTTCCTTCCTTCCTTTCTTCCTTTTTCTTTTAAGATTTATTTATTATATATACAGTGTTCTGTCTGCATGTATGCCTGCATACCAGAAAAGGGCACCAGATCTCATTACAGATGGTTGTGAGCCACCATGTGGTTGCTGGGAATTGAACTCAGGTCCTCTGGACAGTCAATGCTCTTAACCTTTGAGCCATCTTTCCAGGTCCCAACTCCTTTTCTCTTGAGGCAGAGTCTCAGTCTCTCTCTCTCTCTCTCTCTCTCTCTCTCTCTCTCTCT